GAGAGAGAGAGAGAGAGAGAGAGAGAGAGAGAGAGAGAGAGTTGTGAACATTTAGCAGTATTGATTGTATAGGTTTACTAGAAGCAGAAAGTGTCATACAAGCATCAGTAGGTAAGCAAAGAAGGGATGGAACAGATTTGGTGGATGGTTCTACTTTGCTAATGCAAAGTGCAATCACCTTACAACTGTAAGGTACATGTAGAAGTTTCAGCAATCTGCCTGGATAGTAGAGGTGAAATTTTGCATCAGCTTGATCATTTCTGAGGAACTCACATTTGGGCTGCTAATGAATAGAAAGTTCTCATGCATTTCTCATGAGGAGAGTTCATATGAAGATTCAAATTCCCTCACATAGGAAGAAACAGAGTCGGAGGAGCTCTTTGATAGACGATGAAGGAAGTTGCTTTGTGGAGGAATGATTTTCTTATAACCTTTGGCATTCCTGCTTGACTTCATCTTTGAGCTTGATTCACTAGGAACGAGTGATGAGCTTAAGCACAACTAGGTGATCAGTCACAGAGTAACTGCATGAATTTGCAGTTAGCACACTGTATTCTTCTAGATATGCGCCTGCAGTGAGTCACTCAGCTGCTTGTGAAACACAAAACCTTGCTGAATGGGTACAATTAAATGCTAATGCTGTGGTGGTTTTCACATGGTTTTGTTTCTTTTAAAGAGATCAATGAATGTACTGTGAACCCAGACATCTGTGGGGCGGGACACTGCATCAACCTGCCAGTGAGATATACCTGCATATGCTACGATGGCTACAGGTTCAGTGAGCAGCAGAGGAAATGTGTTGGTAAGAGACACGTGTGGTAAATAGACTGCTGAGTGGGAAAAAGAAATAGAATGTTCCTTGAGTTTAATCATCTTGGGAAAACATTATTGTTTAAGTTTTTTAAACAGAATTAAGGCGTGGCTTCCCCAGATGGCAGGATTCCCTTTCTTCTGTGTTTAATGCCACTTCCCTTGCTACAGGTGGGCTGACTTACAAAAGGAAATAAAATATGAATTTCAGCAGTAGCTACCAGTAATCGTGCATTAGCCTAAATAAATCCACACTGATACATGCTGCAGTAATGAACCCACATACATATGCAAAAGCTGAAAGGGATTTCTAAATTCAAAATCTCTATATGCTAGCATGAAGAATGGTTTTCTTAGTAAGGGAACTTTATGTTTCAGGGGGCGGGGGAGCTATTCCAGAGGTGATACAGAATTTAGCAAATGATTATCATGTTAACCCTAAATTTGATTCCTTTTAAAAGAAAATGCACTATGTTTTAAGACACTGGCAAAATAAATAAAGCAAAAAGAATACACAGCGTACTTCTTTACTGTGTGCATTTCGTGTGGTTGGTAAAAGAGACCCTTCACAGCTGTTTGCTTTCCCATGCATCTGTAATGTGCAGTCCTCCCCAGAACCTCAAATACTAAGTAGGGAAGGTAATAGAGATGGTCATGACCCAGCACCCCTCTAAGTGCACTGCAGGTGGGATTGTCCCTGACTATCCTGATGGAGGTCAATCCCAGTGCTTGGGTGACCCTGCTTGCCTTAGAATAGCCTTCTCTATTGAGCTGGAATCTATATTTTTTGAACTGTTAATGTTATGTTTTGTGGGTTCATATGCCCTGTTAACACTCCTTTGTGTATTTGGGGAGAGAGGTCACTTCGTGTTGGTATTTGGTGTTTTACAGAACAGGGAAACAGTCTTTGCTACACAGCTACACAGCTCCAGTCTTTCCCATTGTGTTCTTGTTGACAGACATCGATGAATGTGCCCAGGTCCAACACCTCTGCTCCCAGGGTCGCTGTGAGAACACGGAGGGAAGTTTCCTGTGTATTTGCCCAGCAGGGTTTATGGCCAGTGAGGATGGTACCAACTGCATAGGTAATGATGGTGTTCTTCCTGATGTTGGATCTGGGGGGATTGGGCCAGTTCAGGGCTTCTACAAATAATCCAACACCCTTTTATTAAGTAAACATCTGCTATGGTATATCAATCTTCCTGGTACTAGGGGACAGCACTTTGGAAGGAAGAGTATCAAAGGTGTGAATGAAAAGAGGTTATTTTGGGGTTTTGCAAATCAAAATAGTGTGACTTGAGAGCATGCTGAACACATCAAAGAGATGATGGTGCAGACCGGACACTTCCTTCTCATATTTAAGTAAAGCTAGGAGAGGTAGGGAGTGGTACCTTTGCAAAACACAACTGGTGCAGCCACTTTGGATATCAGCGTGGAGATTTCTCAAACAAAACAAAACAAAACAAAAACAAACCTAAACAACAACAAAATAACTCCTACAAACAGAAGACCATATGATCCAGTTCTACCATTTCCTGACATATACCCCGAAGACTCTATATCCTGTACAGATATATATACACTTATAGCTATTTCTGTGCTATTTATAGTACCCAGGAAATGGAACCAGCCTAGATAGCTATCAATAGATGAATGGTTAATAAAAATGCGATATATATGACATATATATGTGTGTCATATACATATATGTATATGACATGTATATGTGGAAGGGATTTTTTTGGCTCTAAATAAAAAATGAAATTACTATATTTTGGAAAATATTAAGTGTGTTTATCTAGTCTAAATACTACTTGTTCCTCTTTATACACAACTACACAACTCCTAGCTTTGTATGTATGTGTGTTTGTATAGAATGAGTATGGCTAGAGGCCAGGAAACCAGAACGGAACACATGAGAAGGGGGAAATAGAGGCTTAAAAAGAAGAGTGTGTTTGGCGGGGTATAGGAAATGTGTGACATTGAGGCAGAAAGGGGACATTGGGAGAGGAAGGATATAGGTCAGGGAAGCAGCAGGAATTTGGGGCCGGGGGGAGCAGGTTGGAGGGAAAGAAATAAAAACAAAAACTAAGACTGTTTGTAAAGGCCCTAAAAGAAATCTATTACTTTGTATGCCAATTATCAACTAAAGAAAAACATAAATAAAAATAACCCTGGACAATACTTTGTGTCTCACTCTCACACAGATGTAGATGAATGCCTGAGGCCTGATGTGTGTAGGGAGGGTCGCTGCATCAACACTGCTGGGGCCTTCCGTTGTGAATATTGTGACAGTGGGTTCCGGATGGCGAGGCGGGGACACTGCGAGGGTGAGTGTGCTCAGAAGACTGGGTGAGCTGTGTGTCACGGGACTGTGTGTCACAGGACTGTGAGATGCACTCTGGGTCTAGAGCCAGGGCTTAGGCAGCTGCCGTGGTTCTTGCTATTCTCAGTTCTGTCGGTGACCCAGTGAGTCCCAGGTCCCTTCCCTCTGTTCGGTGCCTCCTTCCCTGCTCACAGCCTCTGTCTGACTTCCATGGCTCTGTCCGCCTTATTTTCTATCTTGATGTTCTCATTATTTTTCACTCTGCTATCTGTCTTTCCTGGTGTTTGGAGCTGTGAGCACAGTTAATTGCTGATTATTCTGGAATGAGGCCAGACTTAATTACAATGTCTGGCTGCTCACTCTTCTGTAAATATGGTGCAGGTGTAACCTGTGTTTATTTTTCATTCTCGCCCTTCCCATCTTGTAGCATTCCTTTGTCTTAACTGTCTCCTTTTTCATGCATTCTGGAACTTTCTCGAAGACTGTTTGAAGCATTGTGTGACCAGTTCGTAGTCCAAGTCTGACAGCGCTAGATAACGTTGCTTCATTACATTTACAGAGATCGTGCTCATTGTGGAAATGTTTTGGAAACTGTGTATAGCGTGTCAGAATTACATTCCAATTGATATTTCTCTTGATGCAGATATTCACCTTACACTAGATGTCTTTAAAGCCTCCATTGTAATTTTTTTTTTTTTTTGGTAATTATTTTCCTCAGAGAAATAAAGTAACTTCAGCTGCAATTTTGGCATGGACCCACAAGAATGAACATAGTCCCTGACCTGCTGCTTGAAGGATTTAGACTTAGATGTGGTATTGTGTTCTGGCGCTCCCTGTCTGGTTTTGCCTGCAGCTGCCTGAAGCTCTGTATCTTGTCTGCTGTGTACAGCCTTCTAGAGCTAGTGAGTGACAGGCTCAGCGGTCCAGTTTTCTCTCAGCTGTCCCTTGGCTTCTGCATGTTGGTTCCCTTTACACTCAGATGACCTAGGCCTGGAATGAGAGCTAATTAGCCATTTCTTGGCAGCCCATACCTGCCTGTCCTATTGGCCTCTCGCCTTGGCCCCTTGGGTTCTAATTCTAGAGACAAGTGGGAGGGAGTGTCGTATGTTACTAGATGTCTGATCAGTTTGGATCAGAGCAGAGCCATGAACCTTCCCATCAATGGCCTGGTGCCATTGGACAAGCACCAAAGTGACCCTATTGTCCTCTTCTAGGGAATCCTCCCTCTGCAGTAGAGAGCGTGAGGGTGGGGAATCAGCTGACAACCATCACTTGTCATAACTGTCTGCTCGTTGCCTTAGTTCATTGCCTGTAAAAGGAGAGCCATGAAATCAATTGGCAAGCCTCTCTCAGGGTCATTGTGGACATGAATGTGTGTGGCTATGCCTGTGTGACACCTGTCATCTTCTACTTTTCAGGTTTACATTTCTTTAAACCCTCTTCCATGACTCTTTGTTCTTGCCTAAGTCTTCTCAGTGTCTCTGTAGTTATTGGCCCAAGCACAAGTAGTGCTAAAAAAATGGAGATTAACTTATTTGACAAATAGTCCTATGCAAAGAAATCAAACCCTAAACCTAATTACATTCTGTATGCAGTCCCAAAGTAGAGAGAGAATATTTAAATAATGACAGAAAGGAATAGTCTAGAAAATTTAAAATGCTGTGATTTATAGCTGATAGACTATTCAGCAATAATCTATAGGAATTATTTAATGCTTGCTAATATGCCACCTGGGTTCCCTGCGTGTGCATCTTTCTATATCCTCAAAAAGGCTTGAAAAGAAAAAGAAGCCAAATAATGTGACTGTTTTCTAATTCCATGGTGGACCAGAACCAAAGGTCCCCAGGCCTCTGGCTCCCTGAAGCCTCTCTCAGATGTCATGGAGTGAGATGCTTTCAAACAGAACTGTGTCTCCAAAGAGCCTGTCGTAATTTCCAGACATTATCTCATTTGCCCTCACTTTGTCACATTAAAATGTCACAAGGCATGTGGCCCCAGATTTGTAGATGAAGGACAAGCAGAAAGTGCTGCAGCAGATCCACAGGTACTGCCTTAGGTTGCTTAACCCAGAACCAGCTGTTTGCAGGGCCAGCCTAATGCCAATCTCCTGATTTGGCCATTGCATTTCCATTGTAAAAAGACGAAAGATTTACATCCAGTGGACAATTTGATGTTGGAAAATAAAACTGGCAAACATAATTTTGTAGAAGTCCCAGAACATTGGACCAACGGGGAAAAAGAGGAGAGAGAGAGAGAGAGAGAGAGAGAGAGAGAGAGAGAG